TTATTAGAGAAATACAAAATAAAACCATGATGATTCTACTTAATGACTATTAGAATAGCTAAAATAAAAAATACCAACAATACAAAATGCTAGTGAGCATACAGATCCACTGGACATTGCTGGTGGGTATGCAAAATGTTACAACCACTTTGGAAATCAGTTTGAAGTTTTCTCAGTTAGTTAAATAGATCAACTGATCTCACTCCTTATATCTAAAGTGAAATAAAAGTTTATGGTCAAAAAACCTATACATGAACAGTAGTTTTATTAATCATTGCCCCAAACAGGAAACAACTCAAATGCCTCCTCATTGAGGAATGGATAAACAAATCATGGTAGCGCCATAAAATGAAACACTAATTAGTAATTTAAAAAAAAATCATTGATATGGCCAACAATATGGATGAATCTCAAGTGGCCTATGCTAATTAAATGAAGCCAGTCTCAAAAGGCTGTATACTGCATGCCTCTGTTCATAATTACATTATGGAAAGGGCATATATATGGGGACAGAAAGTAGACTGGTGGTTGGCTTGGGGCAAAGGGAGGATTGACTTATAATGAAAGAATTTGTGGGGTGGTGTTATGGAACTGTTCCATATTTTTATTTTGGTGATAGTTACAAGGCTGTATGCATTTGTCAAAACCTGCAGAACTATACACAAAAAAAATTAGTTTAAAAAATTAAGCTTTATATTTTGAGATGATTGCAGATTCACATACTGTTACATGAAAATCTACAGAAATCCTGTTTACCCAGTGTCCCCCAAGGTAACATTTTGTAAAACTATAGTACTATAACCACAGCCAGGACACTGACATTGATGCAGTCAAGACAGAATAGTCCCATCACCAAAAGAGATCAGAAGGATGAGTTTTAACATATTTAAATTATACTTTCATCTTAAAAATAAAAAAGCTATAAGCTCTATATTTATTAAATTTAAGGAAAATATTGAGCATAGTTAGAAAATCAGTTTTGAGAGGACCTTAAATTAAAGTTAATGTTGATATTTTATTGTAAACAAGCAATATAGGGCTTATAGCTTTTTTTTTTTAAGATGAAAGTATAATTTACATATGTTAAAACTCATCTGATGAGTTTGTGCCCTTTATAGGGACATGGATGAACCTGGAAACCATCATTCTCAGCAAACTGACACAAGAACAGAAAATCAAACACCGCATGTTCTCACTCATAGGCAGGTGTTGAACAATGAGAATACTTGGACATAAAGAGGGGAGCATCACACACTGGGGTCCGTTGGGGGGGGCTACAGCAGGGATAGTGGGAGGGAGGGTAGAGGAGGGATAATGTGGGGAGAAATGTCAGGTATAGGTGATGGGGGAATGGTGGCAACAAATCACCTTGCCATGAATGTACCTATGCAACAATCTTGCATAATCTGCACATGTACCCCAGAATCTAAAGTACAATTTAAAAAAAAAATCACATATCCTTAGATAATAATGTATTTTAACTTTCAGTTTAATTTTTAAAAATCTTTTCGCTGTGCTACTATGCTCTTTCTCTGTATACTGAAACTTGTAAACTCTGCACATTCCATTTACAAAAGTAACATAATTAACATATAGTCTTTGAGGTCAGTTCAGCTGAATATAACATAGCTTGTAGTGAAGAAAACTGGTTCATTTGGCCATTCCAGAGAGAAGGCGGGAGAGAAAGGAATTTTCCTATTCTTCTGTTACCTTTCAGACATTTATGCCAATCCACAGAGTTCCTTTGCCATGCTATTTCTGACTAAACTTATTTAACAACTATAATTTGCTCAGCAATCAACTGACAAAAATTGTACAACTATAAAACTATAAGATTAAAGAATCCATATATTATACAGTGGTTCTTCCTAATCGCTAATTTGAAAATAAAACAAAATGTAAAATTCAGCTATATAATGGAAGGGTTACTTTGGGGGGTATGTTTAAGGGCCAGTGTTTCACATCTTTGTAATCTTAAATGACTGTTTTATAAGACTTTAAACTTTAACAGCACACTCAGAATATAATAATTTGATGAATATTTACTATAAATAAAAATAATCTCAGTGATTAATTTGCAAGTAACTATAAAAACTACATAGAATTACTTTCTCAAGTACACATTTTTCTCTTAAATACTCAGCTCAAGTACTATGTGATTTACATTTCTAACTACTGTACATTTTTCTTCTCCTCTCTTTATAGAAGTTACTTCTAAATTATGTCTCTCAGATAACACATTATAGGCTGGGCACAGTGGTTCACACCTGTTACCCCAGCACTTTGGGAAGCCATGGCAGGAAAATTGCTTGAGGCCAGGAGTTCAAGACCAGCCTGGGAAATACAGCAAGACTCCGTCTCCACACATACACACACATACAAAATAGCTGGGTGTGGTGTCACGTTTCTGAAGTCCCAGCTACCCAGAAGGCTGGAGTGGGAGGATGGCTTGAGCCCAGGAGTTCAAGGCTGTAATAAGCTGTGATCATGCCACTGCCCTAAAGCCTGGGTGACAGAGTAAGACTCTATCTCTTAGAAAAGTAAAATTTTAAAAATGCAACAGATTATAGCAATCACAGATCAAATAAATTCTCTATTCAAGTTATACTTTTTAATGAGATATTATGATTACTTTTTTCTAAATAGACAAGTCATATTATAAATATTACAAAGTTATTTTTATATAGGCTATGGGAGGGATTTTATATATACTATGGGAAGGATGAAGGATTTCAGAAAAAAACTTAAGTCTTATAATAATCTATAATATAAATAATACATTAGCAAGGAAGTAGATACTGGGGGATATCCACTCTCATTCTACTGATCTGCTGTAACAATGATAATCTCAGAATGAAGCCAATCAGACCCAAAGCACAGTTATAACAGGAACCTTTCTATACTTCATTGTAATTTCAGAGTAGCCTGTCATTCTAGATATTAGGCCCATTCCTTATGTATGGAGAATTTTTAAAGTACACAGGTGAAAAGAAAAAAAAAAGTAGTATTGCCATTCTCCTGCAATTATTGTTGGAAAACAGAATGCTAGCAAAGACCCTCCCTAGGTGAGACATTCCAAAATCACAAGAGCCTGCACACAGCCCCCTGGTATCAATGGCAAATTGCAATCAATCTGGTATTTGTAACTGTAGTATTCAAAATGGAAGCAAAGAAGGAAATAGAGACATGTAGGAGGGAGAAAAGATATACAGGAGGTTAAGAAAGAAAGCAAAGACAAATTAAAGAGAAAGAGAGATAAAGAATACAAATTAAAGGAAATGTTGTAAAAGAACTCTTAAACCAACGTATGCCTAGTGTTCCACTACTGGAACACCATTTATATCCTACTGCTCAAGGTCATCATCAATGTCTGATTGCAAAAATTCAAAAACTTGCAGCCTTAGGCATAAATGGGTTAAAATACTTGCTGTGAATGGTCATACTTTAACCAACCTCACTGGAATACTGGCAGAGTAAACCCATAAATGTACTACTCATTATAAAATCTTGAATTGGGTTATACTCATAAAACTGTAAATTATCTTATATTCATTATTGTATACATTCTTTAAAAGAAATGTTTGTGCCATTGTAAGAAAAATAAATTGAATTGTAAAAAAAAAGAAAACTATAAATCATATTTCTTCCTGTTACATGCTTTGTGTCTTTTGCTTATAAATTAATATTGATCCTATCTATTCTTCCCTCCTCAGACAGTTTAAGTCTCTAAAATCTATCAAAAGCAGAATTAAAATAAGAATACTAAATATAAATCAACTTGGCATCATTATTTACCTAATTAACCTTAATGTAGCAGGGAGAGAAAAGTCGTTTTTTTCTACTCTTTTTCCCACCTCCCTGTCTCACCTCTGACAAAAGAGGTATATTTAAGCAAAAATGAAAAGAAGAATTAATTTTTAATTATCTTTTTAATTGCGACAAAATAAAAATTTATATATTATATAAAAATCTCAAAACTCTACTGTTCCCTACTGTTATTTTCCTTTCCTTTCCCTCTTTAAACATCTTCGAACCCACATCATTTCTTTTGTACATGCAAAAGAGAATCAAGCTATGAATCAGTAAGAGTCACTAAACTTTATTTGAACTTTTTCATATTTATGTCAACTTTTGAGGTAACAGTTTGACACTTTATTTTTGCATTGATGCAGTATCACAAGAATTTAAAGCAACTTACCTTTAAACTGTATCTATTTAAAATTATCAGTAAAGACCACATCTTCATTTTATCTCTGTTCTAACATTCAAATAATAAAATACGGAATTGACTATCTATTGAAAACACATTTTGAGATTGGCTCACTTAGCACAATGCCCTTGAGATCCATCCACTCGTTGGATATCTCAACAGGTCTTCCCTTCCTTTTTACTCCTGAGTAGTATGCCATCACATGAAGTCTGACAGTTTGTATTTATCCATTCCCCTTTTGAAGGATATTTGGGTAATTTCCAGTCTTGGGCTATTACAAATAGAGTTGCTATGAACATTCATATATAGGCTTTCATATATAGGTTTTTATTCATATATAGGTTTTTATTTTTCTAGGATAAATGCTCAGGAGTGTGACTCCTGTATGCTTCTATTTCTATGTCACTCTTAAAATAACAAAATTATAGAGATGTCGAACATATAAGTGGTTGCCAGGAGTTAGGGAAGGTGGAGGGAAGGTTGCCACTATACTTCAAACGTGATGACTACTTGTGATACATTTTTCTGTCTAGACTCAAACTAAGATGATGTATTGTTACCTAGAAAGCTAAATGTCATTTCTTAGCGTATCTAATGTACAATTTTTTCATATTACAATTAGAACATATTGAGAACATCTAACCATTGAATAACATTTAATTCACTAAACAGATGAATAAATGGCAAATCAAATTCAGAAAGATAAAAAAACAGGTTTAGACAAATTTGTATTAAAATAATAAAAAATATTAATCAAGTGGCTAAGGGTATAATAAGAAAATCTGCCTACCTGTTAATTTGATATGTCCTATTTCATCAAGCAAAATGCTGTAAATCAAAATTCACATTCAACAAGATGGAATAAAATATTTTACATAAAACATTTACATAAAAATCATAAAACTAAGATAGGTCAGTATTTAATATATTAATTTTTTAAAAATGATTAACTTAAAGTCAATGTATGTCTTACAAAGATTACTTTTTATAAAGAAGTTTCATACAATTCATATAGAATTCCCTATAATATTTAAAAGACCTAACAGAGTAAGACAAAAAGTAGTTCCAGAAATATAGACAACATGAATACAAAAGAAGAATACAGCTTTACTTTTCTGGCTTCAGGTCTCTATAAACAATTCCTAATTGGTGCAGATGATCCAAAGCAAGGGCCAGTTCTGCAAGGTAGAATTTCACATCTTCCTCTGTAAACAGAACCTAGAATAAAATAATGATCTATCATTTGATCTTTCTTTCAATATTCAGCATATTTAAAAGCAGTTCGTTAAAAATGAGTAGACAAATTTAGGAAAATAATAAGATAATAAGCATAGTCAATTCTTATTTGACTGGTATAATTATTAGCAATACCAGAGAAATAAGATTTCCACATAGATGAAACTAAACTCTTTGCATGTGTATCTTCAATATTAACCACTTTAATGTAAATCTTTCTAAAACATTATGTTGTTTGTGTATCTTCTCACACTAAATGCACAGCACGAGATTCACCCTTTTTAAAGTGACTCAGTGTCGTAACATCAATGTTAATTTTAGTATTTTGCTATAATATAGTAACACCCTTGGGAGATTTGAAATATAGAAGGTATTTTGTTTTAGCACTGGGAATTCCACTATTTCTACCATTCTCTCTTTTGCTGGCTACTATCATTTCTCAGAACTTTCACTATTAGAGGCTCTACAAACCCAAAGTTTTTACTACACTGACAGAAGCTTTTAATTAGTAACTCTTATCTTACACAAAATTCTGAACTCATCTCTAACCTAAAGGGTGGATCCAAGCCTCTTCTGTTAGTAATGTATATGAGTGTAATGGCACTGTATTACTCAATCTTTTTGTGACTGGAAATAGGGCTGCTATGATGAAGTAAAGAGTAAAGAACTTGAAAACAGCATTGGCAGTGTAATATAAGAAATGTCTCTTAACCCCCTGGGCTTCAGTTTCTAAATCTGTAAAACAGGACAATATCTGCTGTATATACCTAACAAGGTTGTTATAGGAAACAAATCAATTTATGTGGAAAAAAGCTTTGTAAACTTTAAAATACTAAAATATATATATATATATATATATATATATATATGTGTGTGTGTGTGTGTGTGTGTGTGTGTGTGTGTGTGTGTGTAGCCATAAGGTATTAATATTATAGGTTTACATATAAATTCATTCACAGTGAGTATTCATTTACATATAGAATTGGACACTAATCAACCATTAGATATAATTTTTAAGGTTTAGCAAGAACTCCAGATTGGCAAAATCAAATATTTTTCTAAAACTGGGTTATTTTCATAAAGAAACATCTGGGTTAAAAAGGCTAAAAACTGCATAACCTACATGTCATAATAGCTTACAACTTTCTGTCCACTTACAATTATGACCACTGCATTTCACAATGCAGATCCAGGTTACTAGCAAAATTGTAGAGAATGAGTAGTTAATAACTTCTGATATGCCAACTACTTTCTTAAATGATCAATAGAAAAACAAAGATTGTTCATTATCTAAGTTTTGGGAGCATTAATTTTTATATTATAATGGTAAAAGTATAAAAACATCACTTTAACTTGACTTTTATTAAGAATAAAAATAATAGTTGCCTATTCAACATCTAAACAAGGACGATAATGTTCTCTGAAAGTTAATACATACGAAAACCCTAAATAAAAATTATTTAAAACTAAATTAGGAAAAAAAAACTTTGCCTAGGTTACAGCTAATGGCAAGTCTATCACATTGTCATGAAGTTGTTTTGGTGGAAAGCCTAATGATAGATGCAAATAAAACCTTGCTAAGTAGCAATTATGTGCTAGGCACTGTACAATCATTATGCTATTATATTTTCCAAACTCTATGAGGTAGGTATTAGGAACATCTTGCAAACGGAGAAAGAAACTCAGAGTAATTAAGTAACTTGCCCAAAATAACACAGCTAGTAAGGAGGAGGCCCAAGACATGAACTCAGGGATACTTGTCTGTAAGAATGAACTCTTCCCCAGAAGCCACTTCTGCCACATGCTATGCTGCAATGTTTGCTTTTCTAAAAAAAAAAATTTTAGGTTCACTACCAATAATGCTTTCCAACCTACTATTCATCCTACTCATAAATCCCCCCCACAAATGAACATTATCCTAACCTCCAGTACTCTTGATTTAAGCACTTTTAATATTTTGCCATCTGTTTTTCAAATTATTTACGCACATCTGCATGTGAATGTGTCTACGAATGTGTTTTAATACAGTTGAAGTCATGCTACTATATAAGTACTATTTAGTGGCCTCCTTTATCCCCAGTTAATATTATATCATAAGCATTTTTCTATGTCTTTAAAACTTATTTGTAAAGTTTTCAATAGCTGTACAATACTACCATAACAATTCACCATAATTTACCTAAACATTCCCCTTCTTGGCATTTAGGTTATTTCCAGATTTTCACTATTTTAAATAATTCTACAATATGCATGCATATGTACATCTTACTGATATTTATGATTATTTCTTCAAAATTGATTAAGAAATTTAAAAAAAAAAGGAAATACTGGGTCAAGGAGCATAAATATTCAGATTCCTGACATACACAACAAAATTATTTTCCAAAAAGGTTATAGTAATTTTCACTCCCATCAGCAGTTTATGAAAGCATTTGTCTTACCACATCCTTGATAGTATGGAATATGCCCTGTAAAAAGCCTTTTCAAATTTGATGTGTGAAAGTGGCATCATTTTTTAAATTTAAGTTTTGACTTTTAGGCTAAACATTGTTTTTCATGTTTAGTAGTCAATTTTCTTGTGAATTATCAGTAATGTTTGTGCCTATTTTCTATTACTGTTTTGTCAATTGGTATAAGTCAGTTAAATATTTAAAATGTCAGTTTTCCATCATATTAGCTGCAAATATTTATCCAATTTTCTGCTAGTTTTTGATGTTCAGTAATCCTTAATTTTATGTAGTCAAATGTATAGATCATTTATGCATTATTTTCCTTCATTATTTTAATGTTTAAAGAGACATTTTCCATCCAAGGGTCAACAAAATATTTAGTTGCATTTTATTTCAGGGTAACTGTTTTTCCAGATTTAGCTCTTTTACGTAAGTACAATTTATTTTTGTATATGGTAGAGATGGCATTTTAAAATGAATTTTTGAAATATTTAAGCAATTTATCAAATACTGTTTACTGAACAATCTCTTTGCCACAATTTGTGATTCTTCCTTTATCATAATGATACATGGTAAGTCATATATAACAGGATATTTTGGGGCTATATAGTATTTTTCCAATCTTGTGTTGATACTATAATGTTTTGCTTATGCATGCTTTATAAATTTTTAAACAAGAGGATTTGGGGGGGGCAACATGTGAGGATCACTCAAGCCCAGGAGTTTGAGGTCAACCTGGGCAGCATAGTAAGACCCCATCTCTACTGAAAAAAAGAAAATGGCCGGGTATAGTGGAGCATGCTTCTGTAGTCAGCTACTCTGGTGCCAGAGGCATGAAGATCACTTGAGCCTGGGAGGTTGAGCCTGCAATGAGTCAGGATAGTGCCACTGCACTCCGACCTGGTGACAGAGCAAGATACTATCTCAAAAACAAACAAAAATGTTACTTCTTTGCATATGCTTATTTTTCAAAGCAAACTATAAAATAATTCTGTCAACTTCAAAGAAACAAAAATCCCTATCGCAGCTTTATTTGGAATTTTGTTAAACCAATAAATTAATTTTAGAAGAACTGACAGCTTTACAATAATCAGCCATACATTCTACTACATTTTCTTGATATAAGCAAAATAGAGCATGGCTTAAGAATTATGTTTGTTTACTTGTGTATTTGTGTGTGTATATGTGTGTATGTACATTCTGAGGAAGGAAAATCTCGGTAGGTATCTTTCCCTTTAAAATACAAATGACATACAGTATAAGATTCTTTAAAACATACAAAAATGTACTTTAAAAGTATTTTCTAAGGCATAAAAACATGTCCTCATTTTGGATTATTTAACATTTTTTGTACACACAAGTGAAGTATAACCAACAAACATCTAATTATTAATAAGCTGTCTGCAGAAGTAATCATTGAATCATTTTTTAAAAGACTGCTCAATCAATGTACTAATTTATTATCTTTTGGGTAATGCATTCAAAATGCTTGCTCTTACCTAATATTCCAGACTTAGGAATCAAAACTTACTGACTGCATCTCTGTGCTAGTATGGGTTTAGATAGTCCCACATCGAGAATGGAGGTCTGAAGAGTTTAAAAGAAAATTAGAAATGACTACAAGAATTTCTCAAACATATTTGTGACACTTCTAAAATCTAATGCAAGAAATCATGAATAATGGAGCCTTATTATACTGTTGTCCTTCTATGCCTTGGTACCAGTTTTTAACAAGGTCCTTTAAAGATCCTCCTTAGAAGGGGGTCCTAGAAAATCCCTATCACATACTAGTTTATGTTCTATAGTGAAAAATATACCAATAACACACTCTATGCTCATGTATCACACATTCTACACTGGAAATGGACAGATATAAGCCAGACATCTTAGCCACTTAAGCACTGGCTAGCATACCAGAAACACACTACTCCTTTATCACTGCAAGTTTCAGAGCTCTGGAAATCAGCAGTAGCTCTCCCACACTCTACACTGTCAATTCTGGAAGTGAGACATTGAACTACTATCACCCAATTAAAATGCTACTCCCAGATTACTAAAGATAAAATGAAACAGACAAAGACAGGATTTAATCTCATGCCTGAAAAATCTAAATCACAGGACACAACATATGAAATGATACTTTTCAAGACACTGGACATCAGGCAACAAAGGACAATGAATACTGAGAGACAGGGAACAGATGACATTTGCCCCACAACTGCCCTATCTTACTACCTGGAAAGAGTTTCCAAGTGGTAGTACAGGGAGGCCTAAGTCAGGTGGAGCCTCAGAGACTTCCTGAGTAGATAAGCCAGAACAGAAAGTCTCAGAGAAGGAGACAAAATTCACAGGATCAAGTACTAGAGAAGAGAAAATTGTACAAAGAGAACTCTGTGGATATGTAGACAGTCTCCTTCAAGTATTCAGCAGAGAAATACTCAGTACATGTGAGTGAGGACATTACCCTAAACCAGGAAAAGAAGGAAGGGTTAGAGAAACCAATCCATGAACTCAATATGGGTCAGGAATAGTTCCTGTTGCCTTCGACCAGAGCAGAAAATTTCATAATTCATAAGACAGCAGATAAAGTAATCAGAAAGATTTTGCTGCAGTAGTGGGACAAAATTAACCCTGGACTGAAAGCTGTGTTGAGCCAATCTAATAAACTTTAAAAAGTAAGATCTATAAGGACCAAACTAGTTTTATATCTCAGAACAAAGTTCAATAATGGTTCCATAAATACAAAAATGTTCATCATCTTAACAAGGTAAATGTCACAATCCAATAAAATGTCTGCCTCCAGTAAAAAAATGTCAATTGTGGGCTGGGCACAGAGGCCCATCCCTGTAATTCCAGCATTTTGGGAGGCTGAGGTGGGCAGGTCACCTGAGATCAGGAGTTTGAGACCAGCCTGGTCAACACAGTAAAAGCTCATCTCTACCAAAAAATACAAGAATAAGCTGGGCTGATTGTGCACCTGTAGTCCCAGCTACTCAGGAGGTTGAAGCAAGAGAATCACTTGAACCCAGGAGGCAGAGGTTGCAGTGAGCTGAGATCACACCACTGTACTCATGCTGGGACAACAGACTGAGACTCCTTCTCAGATAGATAGATAGATAGACAGACAGACAGACAGACAGCAATAGAGATAGAGATCGATAGAGACAGAGATAGAGTAAATTATGGATCTGAGGAGACTACCCAAGCCCAAGCCCAGGAAAAGAAAAACCCACTCAACTCACAAAGGACTGAGATAGGTCCTATTTCCAAAAGTGACAGTGAAAAGCCTCATAATTCAAAGAATGTTTGTTAGAGTACTAAGAAAGGACATGCTTCAATACTGGGGATAAATTAATCCTAAACTAAATACTTCCCTGGTCCTACCTGACAAAGCTTAAAAGCAAGACTCAAAAAGATCAAAGTGTTTATAAGAAAATTAATTGTATCCTGGAAAAAAAGCTAAATACTATTTATGTGAAAATAAAAGTATCTAGTATGCAAGAAAATTAAATCCACAATGCCCACTATCCAGTAAAAATGACTACGTAGGTATAATGCCATTGAAGTACAGAACAAGGCACAGAGAGTATTTAAACAAATGAGTATGGCTGTGTTCCAATAAAGCTATATTTACAAAGAAAAGTACTGACCAAATTTAGCCTGAAGACCATAGTTTATTGACCTCTAAGTTAAAACTTATACTACAAATCCTAAGGCAACTATTAAATTACACAACAAAGTGTTATAGATAATATTTACAAGCCAGATGCAGAACTAAAAATAAATTTAAAACAGAAGTAATTAAAAAGAAGCCAGGAAAAGAAGGAAAAAAAAAATAAAACAAACAAAAAAAAAAAAAAAAGGAACAAAAAAAAAAAAAAAAATCCCAACTAGCATAGCAAGATGGTAGATTTAAATATAACTACATAAATTATCATATTAAATGTAACAGGTCTAACATTCCAATAAAAAGTCATAGACTCTCAGATTGGATAAAAATCAAGGAAACTATGCTTCCTTAAGCACCACACATTTAATATAAAGACACAAATAGGCTAAAGTTAAAATATGAAAAAAGATATATCAAACTAACACTCCTTTATTTTTAATGTACTTTAGGTTCTGGGGTGTATGTGCAGATCATGCAGGATTGCTGCATAAGTACCTACATGGCAATGTGGTTTGCTACCTCCATCCCCCTGTCACCTATATATGGCATTTCTCCCCATGTTATCCCTCCCCAACCTCCCTACCCCCTGCTATCCCTTCCCTAGTCCCCCCCATCAGACCCCAGTATGGGATGTTCCCCTCCATGTCCATGTGTTCTCATTGTTCAATACCCGCCTATGAGTGAGAACATGTGGTGTTTGATTTTCTGTTCTTGTGTCAGTTTACTGAGAATGATGGTTTCCAGATTTATTCATGACCCTACAAAGGACATGAACTCATTGTTTTTTATGGCTGCATAGTGTTCCATGGTGTATATGTGTCACATTTTCCTTGTCCAGTCTATCATCAATGGGCATTTGGGTTGGTTCCAGGTCTTTGCTATTGTAAACAGTGCCATAATGAACACACATGTGCGTGTGGAGCGACCATATTAATATCAAATTAGATTTTGAGGAAAAGAATATTACCAGGGATAAAGTCAGTCAGGTTATCTCATAATGATGAAGGAGTCAAGTCATCAAGAGGGAATAATAACCCTAAAGATTTATGCACCTAAAAACAGAACTTTGAAATATATGAAACAAAAACTGACAGAAATTAAAGAAGAAATACACAAATTTATAATTAAAGTAAAAGCTGTCAATCCTTGTCTGTCTAAAAAATGTGTAGGATAGGCAGAAAATCAGAAAAAAATAGAGGAAATTTAATATCACTATCAAAAAACTTGATCCAGTCCACATTTATAGAAGCTTCCACCACCCCAAAATAGCAGAATACACATTCTTCTCAAGTGGACATAGAATATTTACCAAGATACACCATATTATGAAGCATAAGACAAGTATAAGTTAAAAAGAATTAAAGTCATATAAAGTATGCTTTATGGCCATAATGACATTAGAGTAGAAATCAATAATAGAAAGATATGTGAAAGAATGCCCAAATATTTGTAAATTAAGCATACTTCTAAATACCCAATGGATCAAATAAATAAAAAGGAAATTACAAAGTACACTGAACTGAGAGAAATTTAAAATGACACATATCAAAACTTGTGGGATGATTCTAAAGCAGTATTCAGAGTGGAATTTATAATACTAAACACCTACATTATTAAAAAAAGAAGAAAGGCCTCCAATCAACAAATTCAGCTCCCATCTTAAAAACCAGAAAAAGAAAAGCTAATAAAACACAAGTAAGAAAAAAGATTGAAGTATAAAACAGTGTAATAGAAAATAGAAGTAGAATAAAGAAAAATCAATGAAACCAAAAGCTATTTCTTTGAGAGTAATGAAATTGATAAATCTCTAGTGAGGCTAGGCAGAACAAAAGGAGAGAAAACATGAATTATCAACATCAAAAATGAGAGCAGTGACATCACTAACAATTCTACAACTACAAAAAGGACAATAACGAAATATTATGAACAACTTTATGTCAGTAAATTTGATAACTTTGATGGAATAAACAAATTCCTTAAAAGACACAAGTTAGCAAAATTCACACAAAAATAAATAACATAAGTCTATTATATAAATTGATTTTGTAGTTAAACACTTTACTATAAGAAAAACTTCATGTTCAGATGCCTTCACTGGTGAATTACATCAATCATTTAAGGGCAATTTATCATTGAATCTACCTAAACTTTCCCAGAAAGTTAAAGAGGCAAAAATTACACCCAACTCATTCTATGAAGTCAGAATTACTCTAATACCAAAAACAGACAAAATAATACAAGAAAATCACAAATACTCCTCATAAAAATAGATGCAAAATTGTTAACAAACTTTCAGCAACTATCATCCAACAATTTATAAAAAGGTTAATACATCAAGACTAAGTGGGGTTCATCCGTAAATAGAAGGTTGGTTCAACATTTGACTCTCGATGTAATTCACTATAGTAAGACTAAAAAAAAATGATCATCTCAATAAATGAAGAAAAAGCATTTGAATAAATCTAAAATTGATTCCTGATTTTTTATAAAACTCTTAAGAGAGGACACAAACTGATGGAAAAACATTCCATACTCACGGTTAGGAAGAATCACTATCACGAAAATGGCCATACTGCCCAAAGTAATTTATAGATTCAATGCTACATCCATCAAGCTACCATTGATCTTCTTCATAGAACTGGAAAAAAACCCTTTAAACTTCATATGGAACCAAAAGAGAGCCCACACAGCCAAGACAATCCTAAGCAAAAAGAACAAAGTTGGAGGCATCTACCTGACTTCAAACTATACCACAAGGCTACAGCAATCAAAACAGCACAGTATTGATATCAAAACAGAGATATAGATCAATGGAAGAGAACAGAGGCCTTGGAAGCAATGCCACACACCTACAACCATCTGATCTTTGACAAACCTGACAAAAACAAGCAATGGCGAAAGGATTCCCTGTTTAATAAATGACATTGGGAAAACTGTCTAGCCATGTGCAGAAAGCTGAAACTGGACCCCTTCCTTACACCTTTCACTAAAATTAACTCCAGATGAATTAAAGATTTAAACATAAGACCTAACACCATAAAAACCCTAGAAGAAGAAAACCTAGGCAATACCATTCAGGACATAGGCATAGGCAAGGACTTGATGACCAAAACACCAAAAGCAATGGCAACAAAAGGCAAAATAGATAAATAAGATTTAATTAAACTTAAGAGTTTCTGCACAGCAAAAGAAACAACCATTAGAGTGAACCAGTAATCAGCAGAATTGGACAAAATGTTTGCAATCTACCCATCTGACAAAGGGCTAATATCCAGAATCTACAAGGAACTAAAGCAGATTTACAAGAAAAAAAAGCAATAAACCCATTCAAAAGTGGGCAAAAGATATGAACAGACGCTTTTCAAAAGAAGATACATATGAGGCCAACAAACATGAAAAAATGCTCATCATCACTGGTCATTAGAGAAATGCAAATCAAAATCACATTGAGATACCATCTCATGCCAGTTAGAATGACAATCATTAAAAAATCTGGAGACAACAGATGCTGGAGAGGATTGGAAAAATAGGAACACTTTTACACTGTTGATGGGAGTGTAAATTAGTTCAACCATTGTGGAAGACAGTGTGGCAATTCCTCAAGGATCTAGAAATAGAAATTCCATTTGATCCAGCAATCCCATTACTGGGTATATACCCAAAGGACTATAAATTATTCTATTATAAAGAGACATACACACATATGTTCACTGTGGCACTGTTTACAATAGCAAATACCTGGAACTAATCCAAATGCCCATCGATGATAGACTGGACAAAAAAAACGTGGCACATATATACCATGGAATACTATGCAGCCATAAAAAGGATGAGTTCACATCCTTTGCAGGGACATGGATGAATCTGGAAACCATTTTTCTCAGCAAACAGACACAAGAACAGAAAACCAAACACCGCATGTTCTCACTCATAGGCAGTTATTGAACGATGAGAACACATGGGCACAAGGAGGGGAACATCACACACTGGGGTATGTTGGGGCATGGAGGGCTAGGGAAGGGACAGCAGGGGATTGGTAGGATGGGGAGGGATAACACTGGGAGAATGCCTGATGTAGGTGACGGCGGGATGGAGACAGCAAACCACCATGGCATGTGTGTACCTATGCAACAATCCTGCAAGATCTGCACGTGTACCTCAGAACTTAAAGTACAATTTAAAAAAAGTAGCACAGAAGAGAATTTTCTCAACCTTTGCCATCGATTTTTAAAAGCTGCTAGAAGTGTTAAGTTTGGCTAGACTGTGGGAAACAAGCTCAATACACAAAAAATCGGTTTTGTTTCTATCCAATTTAACATTGAAATTAGGAAGTCAATTCTATTTACAATAACATTAAAAACAGGATTTACTTAGAGGTAAATCTGACAAAAGAAGTGAAAGACTTACACTGAAAACAAGATAATACTGAGAGAAATTAAAGATGACCTAAATAAATTGAGAAAGATACCATGTTCATGAATTGAAAGACTCAATATTACTAAAATGTAACTTATCTGCAAAGTGACTTATATATTCAATGAAGTCCCAACCAATATCCCAGCAGGGCATTTTTGTACAAAGTGAAAAGCTGAATTTAAAACTGATATGGAAATGGAAAGGACCTAGAAGAGCCACACTCTGAAAAAGAAAAGCAAAGTGCAAGGATTTGCATTACCTGACTTCAAGACATATTATCAAAGTACAGTAATTCAGACAGTGTGGTATTGTCATAAAGATAGACAAATGGATCAATGAACAGAACAGAGTATACAGAAATAAGCCTTCATATATATGATCAATTGGTTTTCAAGAAAAATTTTAGGTAATTCAGTGAAGAAAAGATAGACTTTTCCAATAATGATGCTAGAACAACTGGATATCTATGTGCAAAAAAAAAAAAGGACTTCTGCACATACCTGTAACCATATACTAAAGTGAACTCAAAACTGATCCTAAATCTAGATGTAAAATTCAAACTACAAAACCTCTAGAAAATAAAAGAGAAAATCTTTACCTGGGATTAGGCAGATATTCCTTACATAGGACACTAAAAACACAATTAATAAAAGGGAAAAAAATCCTATAAATCAGACTTCATCAAAATTAAGAACTTCTGCTTTTCAATAAACACTGTCAAGAGAATAAAAAGACAAACCACAGACCAGAAGAAAACATTTTAAAATAACATATATGATCAAGGACTTACATCCAAAATACATAACTCTTAAAAACTTAATAAGAAAACACACAATCCAATTTAAAAAAAAGACTAAAAATGTAAACAGACATTTTACCAAGAGGATATATAGCAAATGAGCTCAAGAAAAGATGCTCAACATCATTAGTCATAAGTGTGATACAATTCAAAACCACAATGGGATACTACTAAAAACTAATCTTAAAAAATTTTAAGACTGACTATACCAAATATTGCAAAGTATTACCACAAATGTTGGCAAGGATGTGGAGTAACTGAAACTCTCTTACACTGCTGGTGGGAATGTAAAAAATATATAATCACTTTGGAAAACAGTTTGGCAGTGTCTTTAAAGGTTAAACATACACCTACTACATAACCCGGTCATTGTACTCTTAGGTATTTACCCATGAGAAATGAAAACATATGATACAATCATTTCTATATGAATGTTTATAGCAGTTTTATTAGCAATATCAAAAACTGCAATGACCCAAAAATCCATCAATAGGTGAATGATAAACAAATCATGATGTATCCATACAATCAGTAATACTACGCCATCAATAAAAATGAATAAACGATTAGTACAAACAACATAGATGAATCTTAAAATAATTATGTTAAGCCAGACAAAAAAATGGATATACAATATGATTCCATTTATATAAACTAGAAAATATAAACTAAATAGTGACAGAAAGCAGATTCAGTAGGGTTAAGGCAGGAGGATGGTATCACAAAGCGACACAAGAAAATTTTGGGGGATGACATATATGCTAATTATTCTTATTGTAATGATGGTTTCACAGTTACATATAAATGTAAAAACTTATAAAATTGTATACTTTAATATGTACAGTTTATTGTATGTCAATTATACCTCCATAAAACTATTTTAAAATGAATAAACACTACTCCCAGAGGTGTTTAGGTAGCTTGAGTAGCCAAAGTCCTAGGCTTGTCCATATCTACTTTACTCAGTTATTCATATTGTTCTTTTGACTAAGAAAATAACAAGTAGCACATTGAGATGATAGAAAATGCCATTAACAGGCACATTACCAAATACTATGCAATGAAATAAACAAAGTAATTACCATTTAAAATTTCAATAGGAAAAACGTAATTAGTGAAAGAACAAAAGGGATTTTTCTTAGTTTTGTTTCAAGAGCATAAAGATGTACAGACACTTACCTCTTTGGATAATCTTGTGAAAACATCTCCTCCCCTGAGAAAATCCAGTATTAAGTACAGTTTCCCTTCAGTCTGAAAGGCTAATTAAAAATTAGAATGTAGTAACAGAACAATCTCTAAGGCTTAAAAAGCTTACTATGCTTTTTAATTAATATATGTTTAAGATTTTACAGTATTTACTCACATGGTCCACAAGTGGATAACGTCTCAAAATTAAACCAAGTATTTAATCCAGTGTTGAAATAGCTATGAACCCCTTCCCAGAACATAATAACCTTGAATGTGGCTTGCACAAAACTTCTACCACCACCAATTTCCTAATTTATGAAGCATATTCTACTGCAATTGCCTAAATTTAGCCTATAAAACCTACTGAAAGTCCACGAATCCTATAAAACAGCTAACCAAAAATGCCACTTCCTCTATTAAACTTTCCAGGATTTCTCCCTTTTCACATTTTTCCACAGCTTCCTTGATCTCTTATCCAGTGAAATAACTTGCTGCTACTTTTGAGATCTCATTATATTTACACCTCTTTAATGGTACTTATTCCATTTTAATTTGTACAATTAATTTGTTTACATCTCTGTGTTCTCTATAGGTTGTAAATTTCTTGAGGTCAAAAAGTGTTTCACATCTATAGCCCACTGAATTTAATACAGTAATTTTACACACAATAAGTCTTTACTGATTGACATACTACAGATTGGGGAAGGTCTTTAGATGTTACTTTTTTATTCTGTTAGTATTATAAGAAGTAAAAGAATGATGGGTGAAAATTTCTTATTGGTTTTTAATAGCAATAATTGGGTATATATTTTAATGTATTATTTGTCAAAGTTATACTAAGAATAAAATAGCTGCTACTTTTTTAATATAGAAAATTAAAAGTGACAAAGTACACTATGTCAGAGATAGATAGATAGATAGACAGATCTCATCTATATGTTAAATTAGTATTGTAGTCATGATTCAAATTCAGAAATGTCTAACTCCAAAGCTGATGTTCTTTCCACTACATCTACTGCTTCTTACTGGTAGTCCTCTCCCATTAAATATAAAAAATAACTCAAGTAGACTAACATAACTACATGATCCTCTTGAATGTAAGTAGGAAATAGATAAATATGGTCATTATGAACAAGCAACTGAATGTTTTATGTAAATTATCACAATAGTATATAGTCTAAGATTACTGAAGGTACATCCTAGTAGAGTACATAAATACTACCAGACAGGTAAGTAAAAAACACTATCTTGTTATTTTAGACAAGTTAACCAACTTAGAAAAATGAAGGATATACAATTAAAAACTGGATACTGATATTTATTTCAGACAAATACATTTTACATAGTTGAATATACTAAGTAAGTCTAAATTATTTACTTCCTGTTTTAGTATTATCTGAATGGAAATCATAATTCTCTAATTCCATATTAATAATGATTAAAATAAAAGAACAAAACTAAGATTACATACCATAGTGCAATTTGACAATAAATGGATGATTTACTTCCACCAGTATATCCCTCTCCATCTTTGTCCGAACTCTGTCTCGAACTAAAAATTACATAATGCTACAATATATTACTCTTGTATCATTTCAGTTAAGATTCCATCAATAATTTACCAAACAAAAAATATAAAAATATAAAATATAACTTCGTAAATGCCTAAATTTGCAGTTTACATATTCCTAGATAATAATGACCATATTCTCAGAAAGCAAAAAGATTTCATTACAACTAGAGACAGGTTAAGGTAGCATAAATAGGTATGTAGCTAATATGCATTTATTATGTACTCATTTTTTTTTTTTAGACAGGGTATTGCTCCTTGTCCAGGCTGGACTGCAGTGGCACAATCTCAGCTCACTGCAACCTCCACCTCCCAGGCTCAAGCAATCCTCCCATCTCAGCTTCCCAACTAGCTGGAACTACAGATGCATGCCACCACGCCCAGCTCATTTTTGTATTTTTTGTAGAGACAGGGTTTTGCCAGGTTACTCAGGCTGATCTTGAACTTCTGGGCTGGGCTCAAGGGTTCAGCCTGCCTCAGCCTCTCAAAGTGCTGGGATTACAGGTGTGAGCCAACACACCCGGCCTGTTAATCTCTTTAATTGTTCAAATGAGTTTACTGATTAAAACTGATCTGGTCATAAGGGGTATTTTTATTACACCCTAAAAGACAGTGTGTGCAAATGGCTGTACTTTCTCAATATGCAACATTGACACAGAAAAGGAAAAACCAAGAATCTTGAAAGAAAAGTGTATAGCCTAATTAAGTTAATAAGTTTAAATTAAATGAAGTATGTTGCTTTTTCTAGGATCAAATTTTTACTGCACTCTCACTAAGTTAAGGCATATGTCAATATCAAATCTAGTAATATTACCTACTGGCTAGAAAAACTGCCACAAATACTAATGTTAAAAATAGCTACATCTATTCACCTTATACTAGCAATATACAGCATATTTCTTAAAATAACGCTTTGCCAAATTCTACTTTAATAAACTTTCTAATTTTCTACCTTTTAAAGAGGCTTTTTTTAACACCTTCATTGCATAGAGCTGCCCAGCATCAGGACCGGTCTTCTTTCTAACAAGAAAAACCTAGTAGAAAATTTAAAAAAAAGAAAAAATCACATTTCTAGTTATTCTTGCTGTACACATACACACCAGCATACACCTGTATCCTTGCATTTTCTCTAATTTTATAAACATATACCTTCCCATAGAGGGAAGGGGGAGAGAATGAGAGATTTGTTGAAGGATACAAAATTGCCCTGATCTGATCACCATACATATTACATATTGAAACTCCACTATGTACCCCATGAATATGTATAACTATTTGTCAATTTAAAAAAATAAATGAAAAAAGTTTTACTTTCTCCTATAAATTATGCTATAATTTACATTATTATTTTCTCACTTCCCTTCATTTAATAAATCATAATACATATAAATACTACAAGGAAAAGGTTTAAAATAGATGACCTGGTCATGAACTTTGAGAATTTGGTGATGTAAAAGACAAATAACATAATGAAAGACAAATTTGAGCTACATACCTCCTTTTAAGACCCAGCCCACTTTCTGTTAACTTAATAGGGAGCAAACAAACATTATGGCCCTATATACCTTAATTAAATATACTTTATTGCTAAATAATGCTAAGGATCATCTGAGTCTTCATTATTGCTGATGGACAGTCTTGCCTCAATGTTGATGGCTGCTGAGTGATCAGGGTGGTGGCTGCTGAAGGTTAGGGTGGCTGTGGCAATTTCCTAATATAAGACAATGATGAAGTTTGTTGCATAGATTGATTTCCTTTCATGAGAGATTTTTCTGTAGAATTTGATGCTATTTGATAGTATTTTACACATAGAATTTATTTCAAAATTGAACTCAATCCTCTCAAATCCTACCACTGCTTTATTAAATGTTTATGTAATATTCTAAAGCCTTTATTGTCATTTCAACAAAGTTGATGGCATCTTCACCAAAAGTAGATTTCATCTCAAAAAACATTTTCTTTGCTCATCCACAAGGAGCAACTCCTCATCCATTCAAGTTTTATCATGAGACTGCAGAATTTCAGTCACATCTTTAGTTCCACTTCTAATTCTAGTTGTCTTGCTATTTCCACCACATCTGCAGTGATTTCCTCCAATGAAGTCTTGAACCCCTCCAAGTCATCCCTTAGGGTTGGAATCAACTTCTTCCAAACTCCTGTTAATGATATTTTGACTTCTCCCATGAATCACAAATGTTCTTAATGACATCTACACAATAGTGAATCCTTTCCAGAGGTTTTAATTTGCTTTGCCCAGATTCATCAGAGCAATCACCATCTATGGCAACTATAGCCTTAGAAAATACATTTCTTAAATAATAGCACTTGAAATCAAATTTATTCCTTGTGCCATGGGCTGCAGAATGGATGTTGTAATAGAAGGCATGAAAACAACATTAATCTCCCTGTACATCTCTGTCAGAGCTCTTGGGTAACTGGGAGAATTGCCAATAAGAAGTAATATTTTGAAAAATATCTTGATTTTGTGAACAGTAGGTCTCAACAGTAGGCTTAAAATATTCAGTACACCATGCTATAAACAGATGTGCTGTCATTCAGGCTTTGTTATTCTGTTTCTAGAGCATAGGAATAGATTTAACATAATTTTTAAGGGCCCTAGAATTTTTGGAATGGTAAATAAACAATGGCTTCAACTTTGAGGTTCCAGGATCACTAGCCTCTATCAAAAGAGTCGGACTGTCCTTTGAAGCTTGGAAGCTAGGCACTGACTTCACTCTAGCTTTAAAATCTAGGTGGCATCTTCTTCCAATAGAAGGCTGTTTCTTCTACAGTCAAAATTTGTTGTTTAGTGTAACCACCTTCATCAATTATCTAGATCTTCTGGTTAACCTGCTACAGCTTTTCTATCAGCACCAGCAGCATTACCTTGCACTTTGATATTATGAAAATGGCTTCTTTCCTTAAATGTCATGAGGCAACCCCTGCTAGCTTCAAACTTTTCTTGTGTAGCTTCCTCACGTCTCTCAGCCTTCACAGAATTAAAGACAGCTAGGGAATTTCTCCAGATTAGGCTTTGGCTTGAGGGAGTGTTGTGGCTGGTTTGATGTTCTATTTAGACCACTAAAACTTTCTCCATATCAGCAATAAGCCTGTTTACCCTTATTATTATTTGTATGTTCACTGGAGTAACAGTTTTAATTTCTTTCAAGAATGTTTCTTTGCATTCACAACATGGCCATCTGTTTGGCACAAGAACCTCAGCTTTTAGCCTATCTTGGATTTTGACATGTCTTCCTCACTAAGCTTAATAATTTCTAACTTTTTGTTTAAAGTGAGAAATTTGGAACACTTCCCTTCCCTTGAACATTCTGAGGTCACTGTGGAGTTATTACTTAGCCCAATTTCAATATTCTTGTAGGTCAGGGAAGAGAGGGACCCAGGAGATAGAGAAAGATGGAGAAACAGCTGGTCAGTAAAACAGCCAGAACACACACATACTGTTTATCAATGAAGCTCACTGTCTTAAGTGTGTATGGTTTGTGGCACCCTGAAACAATGACAATACTAATATCAAAGATCACAGATCACAAATCCCCATAACAGATATAATAGTAATTAAAACATTTGAAACACTGTAAGAATTACCAAAATATGAGACAGAGACAGAAGGTGAGCATATGCTGGCAGAACAATGGCACCCAAAGACTTACTCAACACAAGGTCACCACAAAGCTTCAATTTATATATGTATGTGTTTGTATATATATATATATATATATATATGTGTGTGTGTGTGTGTGTGTGTGTGTATATAATACATATATACATATACATATATATACATATACACATATACATATATACACATATATGTACACATATATACACATATATAAACACATAATATCTGTGAAGTGCAATGAAGTGAAGCATAATAAAAAGAAATATAGCTTCATTAAGAAGATGACGAAGTCAATGTGGCAAATAAACATTTGCCAAAATTCATGTTTTTGGCAGAAAGCTCAGATTCTACCATTGAAAAAAAAAGGATCAGTTATTTTTCTATGAATGGGCTCACTCCATTCATTTTTGAGAAAACACCTACCAAATAAGCATACTTATGTAACCATAGTTTATCGTTCTTTCAAGGAAAAGTGGTGATCCACGAAAACAGTGTGGTTCAGCTCACAACTCAAAACATTTGCACAAGTCCTCTGCCTTGAGACAACCATTCTATTTTGTTATGCAGTTAAAGGGCTTGATGTGTACTTCCCATTTTATCACAGATTATTGAAAAGAAGGGTATTCAAGGGTTGAGATTTAATAAACGTAATAATTGTTAATGTCTCATCAAGGACATTCTTACACTGTATATGTAAGACAATGAAGAATACAATGATTACTAGTACCATTTGAAGTCACTGCCTTGATGGGCCAATATGCCAGCAGTTGTACAAATGATACCTTAGGATGACTGTGAAAAAGCTTTGACTTGAGAACTCCCTGAAAAGGTCTTAGGATTGTTCAGGGGTATGCAGACCACAATTTCAGAACCACTCTTATAAAACACAACCCTCAGTAGAATTGTAAAGAATGGAGTATGAAGAGTGAGAAGAGGCAATCAAGGAAGAAAGAAAGAGATACTGTAGGCTTTCTGAACACACTGCTGCATAAAGGGGCCATTTTTTTTCCCTAGCTCTTCTACATTTACTAGTATCCCAAAATGGCATCTAATAGAATCCATCATTTGCAGTCTAGAGAAGTAACTGTTTGTTTATCATCTGATCTATTTTTTCCAGGTCTTATGAGTGACTTTCCCAGCATAAGAAAATATCACATCTCACTGCCCAATTCCCAAAATCAACTATAAAAGTAGTTCTCTTTCCACCCCATTCTTATCTATTACCTAAAATTTTTCAACCTTCCCAAGGTTATATTTATTGATTTGTACTATCATAATGTCCCTTTTTTTGTCATCTGAAACTCTCCCTTCTCCTTCCACCTCACTTTCTTCAGGTTCTGCACCATTCCAAAAGCTTGACAGTAATAATAATGTAACTGGAAATAAGGTGATAACGTACTTTTCAGTAATCTATTTCTTTTTCCTAAGATAAATCATCCTTGAAAAATTTTCCTATCCTGATATAATAAAGTTGTGCTATATCACTTTATCTTCCCATATATGTACTCATTAGTTGTTTAATCAACAAATTAACATTCATTAAGCACATATTCTGTATCAGAAATTGTGCTGCACACTGAGGGATACAGAAATAAACTGTGAACATGAGGATAGAGAACTTTGTCAGAAACATCATATCCTTTAAAGAAACAGATACAAGTAGGCTATGAGCTAAATTATGTGCCCTCAAAGTTAATACATTAAAGTCCTACCTCCAAGTACCTCAGAACATGAGTGTATTTGGGGATAGGGTGCTTAAAGAAATAATTAAAGTTAAAAAGTAGTTGCATGGCTTCAAACTACTGTACCTAAAACCATACCTATATTGATAAAAGAGGCTTCTTTTCAGTCACTCTAATCCAATCATGGGAAATTGTCCAGAAGAATGGATGAATTATTCCAATCTACTTTTAGGACTTTTATATTTTTCTATAAGAATATTCGTAACTGTGGTGAGCTGGAAACTCACACATTTTTAAATGCCGATTAAAGAGAAAGAATCAACTTCAGAAAATTTTAAGATGTCAGCATACGTTTTATAAAACTATCACTCGAGATTTGATCATTTATTTAAGAGTATAAGCATTCAATATTTTCAAAAATTCATTTTTACGTTCTATAGTTAAAGTCTTTACTATCACAAAAGCAAAAGTATTATTTTTTTATAATCAACAAATGTTAAAATGTATGTTTTGTATAAATATTAATTGGCTCATGATATATAGGGATGACCAATCAGACAATTTCAAAGGTATTTTCATGTGTTTGTGTTTTAAAATAATTAATGTAAGTTTAGTTTACCTTTCAACCCATACATTAATGATCATTAATAGCATTATACTTGGTGTGCTTAGGACAGAATTTTATATGTACCTTTCATGATAATAATGCATGCTTTATTAAACTACAATTTTAAGTTGACTTTAGCAGGGTTGCCCACTATTAAATAGGCAATAAAAACATTTAATATTATAAGGCTTTACATTGGCTAAAATCCCATTTACTGCATTTTAACAACGGAACTTTTGAAGAAAAACTTAAGTAAGACTCTGCAGCTCAAAGTCTCTTGGAATTGCTCCTACACTTATCTGAATCACAGCCTTGGCCAAATTCCTGAATAGGTTCAGCATATAACAAGTCACACCTACACATTGCCTACGCAAATGATGTAATCCTGACAAGCAAGTATGTTCACATCCTAGGGAAAAAAAGCCACCTCCTTAATATTTCTTTGGTTGATAAACTACATAAAAATCACTATTTTGGATTTTAATATTAGGAATTAAAAGAAGGCTTCAATGATATTCTTCTTAAAACAAAATCCCAGCACAGACAAAGTTGAGTTTTCCCTGAATTTAAGGACTACATTGACAACTTGTCAGCATGTTGGTATATTTAACATGAAGATGTTACTGAATATATTTCATTATGCTATAAAGTATTTTCTTAACAACAACCCATGAGATAAATTTATCTGGTCTGTTTGTTAATTATAATACACTCAAATATATCAGATTCTTTATAATGGCTACTGGAAAACTTAAGTCTTAATTTTTGACCCATTAGAAAAGGACTTACAGACCCTTATGTCATGCTTTTGTGAACAGCAGAGTGTACTCCTGGATTCATCTAATCTTTCCTGCTCTGCGTTTTCTGTTTACATCATCTTCACTAGTTATTTTTAATTTTATTTAGTATTCATCTGTGAAAGCCTTAAATCCTTTTTGGAACAAAGCTGGAGATAAAAGTATATATGAGTAAATACATACATCAAAAGACAAAGCAAGTAATTTTAATATCTTGAAATGTTTGCCTGGTGAGATTTTATTTAAGTCAAATATTTAAGCATTTATACATTTGGAATATAAAATAACTGTATCTCTGTTCATCTAAAATTAACATCATAAAAATAGCTATAGAGTGCAAAACAGTTAAAACAATATTGTGCTTTTAGAAACATTGAAATAAAGTTCTACATAATGTACATGCCTACTCTACAGATCAGTTCTATAAACACTCCCCACCACCATCACCACCACCACCACCAATCTATTAACAGTTCCTTCCAGTTTTTCTCTCCTCAGAACCCTGTTCAACTCCTATCTCTTTGTATTATACAGCTCCTGTACCAATTCACTGCCAAGCTGTAATTTATTTCAGTTTGCCATTTTTGTGTCCTGATAATATTTATTTATATTTCATGTTATATTCTATAATGCATAAATATCAGGCTACTTTAAGACAACATCTATTTTATAGTTACTAATACTGCTTATACAACTGTAGTACACACATTGAGTGTTCAATAAATGTTTTTCCTTGGGAAGCTAAAGTGGGAAGATCACTTACATCTAGGAATTCGAGACCAGCCTGAGCAACACAGCAAAACCTTGTGTCCAAATTTTTTTTTAATTAGCTGGGTGTGGTGGTGCATGCCTGTAGTATTAGTTCCTTGAGAAGCTGAGGATGGAGGATCACTTGAGCCCAGGAATTCAAGGCTACAGTGAACTATGATCATGCTACTGCACTACATCCTGTGTGACAGAGCAAGACCCCATCTCTAAAGCCCAATAAAATAATAAAATAAAAATGTCTTTCTTTAAAATGTTCAGAGCATTATAAATAATCTATGCTCAATTGTCTATTTTCTCCTTTAAAACTAAATCTCAACCACTTGAAATCAGTATTTTGTCTTTATTTTTCTTCCCTTAAATTGTGGTTGGTGCTGTTTTTCTAAAGGCTGTTACTATGTGTATGCAATAACTTTCATATATTAGATATTAGGTGTATAAATGTCAGGAACCAGGTCTACACACTTCTTTTCTAAAACCATGTTCTTAAGTGCTTAAGAAACAATTCTAGTAATGACTATAAGAGTTAATCCTACTGAATTTTGCTTTCTGCCTTGGAATGTAAGCTCCTTGAAGACTTAAATTTCACACAAACCATATATTACCCAGTAACTATCTTTGTTCTACTTTATTTTAACAGGTGATAGACGACTTCATGAATTCATACATGCATGAAGACATAAATTCTGATTTCTGTGACATAGCTAAGAAATGTAGATTAAATCACCAGGAGAGAATAAGCTGTATTCATGCCAGCATGTAAACAAGGAGACAGAAATACCATTTTTTACAAAAATCAAGCTACTTTGATTTAGGCAGCTAATAAAGGGTATGCTATATTTTTCCCTAGAGAAATCAGTAAGCCCAGGGGATTGGTAATCTTGATTGTTACAGAGAATTATAAAGAAATAGTTAAAAAAAAAAACACAAAAAAAAGTACAACAGAAATAAAAAAATAAAGAATTATCTTGGTGTGCATCATTTTAGAAGTTTATAAATGACACAATCATCAGATTTCTATGCATGTTTTCACTTATTTTGCTAAATGATTAGAAGACAAACAAATGAGGGAAAAAAGTATTTATTACCTTTCCAAATGACCCCTGACCAAGAACCTTGAGCAACTCAAACTGTGCAGGATCTGCTTTCTCATATCCTTCCTTAACATGATGAGTAATAGGGATTTCTTTAACAACTCCTTCATCCTGAAAGAAGAAATCCAAACAATACTTGAATCCACTTTCAACATCTTATGATTAGTTCCATTCAAAATCATAAGTCATCATAGAAATAATATACCCAACTCTCTCAATCTAATAGAGAGCTTTATGGGCTACCAGTATCCTTATTTCCCTGTTTTCTAACACATACAGCACATACAGATGCACCACCACCTTCCCTACTATATAATTTCATGTAAATGAATGTAAAATGAAATCTATGCTTCAGCCTTCCCTTCCAACTTGGAAGCAATAAAATAAAATTGTTAACAACAGTCTCAAGACCCTTCACTGGAGTGTAACTAATGAGGTTGAAGCAGGAAAAGTCAAAATAAAACCTTGTAAATTGTGGGGTATGACTAAATAACATGACTTCAAGAGCTCTTTTAAACAGTATTTCACTATAGGATTTTAAATGTTTAAATGGTCAACTAACCACAGTAATGAAAAAGAAACTGGCATAGACCAACAAAATCTGCAGAGCCCAAACAAATATTTCCAGGATATGGCCCTGTACTAAAATTTTATATATAAATTATATGCCAGATTTCATGCCACCTGGGTGAAGCAGAAAAGAAGACAGCCAATGAGTGGTTCTTCTCCTTGATGCAGGACTCCACTCAGCTGTGATAACTACATTCAAGTGAGCTGTAATTCTAGTCTCTAGAGAAGTACAGTAGCTAGGACGGAAAAAAAAAAAAAGTCAGACATATTACATATCACAAAATAACAGAGTTGGAAGGGATATCTTATCCAAACCTCTGACTATATAAAGAAGAAAATTAAGACTCACGGAATTTAAGTTTACATGACTACTTAATCATAATGCTTGGTACCACTCCATTATACCATACTAACTTTGGTCTGGATGGTAAGACTGTTCTCAATTATTCACCCTTCAATTAAATGATTAGTCAATGGTGACTGTGGCCAAAGTGAATAAGCATATGGTCCCAAATGAATTAGACTTCATGGCAGCTAAAATAACTTCCAAGCCATAAAGGTAGTCAGACATTCACTATCTCAACAAGGGTACCTAGGCAGAGATTTACCTGTGTTAGGAACCACCAGTAAATCAACCAGAAATGAAGAATAACGGATTCTGAAAATATGTCAGATATTTCTTATACATCAAAATAGTATTTCACTAGACCCTTTTAAATAGTGTTGGTAATTTATGTTTGTTTTGAAAATAAAAAAATTAAATTAAAATCAAACCTGCTATAAAAGTGAATTTCTCTATTTGAAAGGGGCCCTTTTAAAAAAAAAACTCAACAACCTTTTGAAACGCAAATATATATGCTTTGTAGCTAACATTTGGGGACTATATTAAAGTATAATATATGTGTATATACATTTGCAGTATATATTTATATCAATGTATATTCTTATTATAGAAAACTGAGTTTTCACCACACATTAAGAATGCAATATGGTTTTCAAAACATAGAAGATTTTTGGAAGTTTTCTCTAGTGCAAAGAACAATAGAGGAAGAGTCAATAGACAAGATGTTTTGTGCCTAGCTATGGTGTGCATAAGCTAAGATACCTTGGCTAAATCATAAACCACTCTCTTTCAGTTTTCTCACATGACAAAGGGGTTTTGTTAGATGGGTCACTAAGGTCCCCTCAATGTTTGTGATTCTATATTGAACACAATATAATATTTCCATGTTCAAGAAGGCACTTCAGTTCCCTGCTTATGTTTAGATTATGACTATAAGCATGGATCATAATGGCATCAGTTTTTTTTTTTAGAAGTGTTAAGAGTTAGGAAACAATTGTACACTAGTTAGTTCACCAAACCTAAGCAAGTTTTCCAAATGAAAATGTTTGTCCAATGCCCTTTTACCATTTATTAATAATCCACACACACCCATCCTCTAAAAATGCAATGTCTTTCCATTTTCAGCAGCAGTACCTTAAAAAGCTCCCAATACAAAAATGCAACTAGATGAGAAAGATCACTTTTCCAGGAGACAATCAACATAAAATGTTACACTGTGTCCTAACAACTTATTATCTTTCTTTCCCACTGGACTGTGGGCTTCTTAATTGCAGGTATTATACCACATTCATCTCTTTATTCCTAATGCTTAGCACAATACTTTTTTGATTTCATGGGGGCAGAAAGACAAAGAAGTCTGCTCAATTTTATAAAAGAAACAGGAAAAAAATATATATTTTTTAAAAGGAAGGTAGTGCTTACCACCAAAAAATAGAGCAACTGTGAGATGATGGATGTTAACTTGCTTAACTGTAACAATCATTTTGCAATGTATATGAAATCATCACATTATACACCTTAAATATATACAATAGAAAAGAAAGATTTTAAAGGTAAAATTAAACAGTAAGAAATCTCAAAATTATTCTTAAATACCATCTACAAAACAAAAATATATATATACCCACAATTTCTTTTTAAAAAATATATAAAGAAAATAAGGAAACGAGATTCATTCTGGCTAATGAAATTGTGTCAGCTTTGACTATAACTAAATCTGTAATAACAATATTTCTAAATAAAATAAGCATATCTTCCCATACACTGTGAAGAATATAAAATTTTCCATATTATCCATGGTCAGTATTTTTATTACACTGTGCTGAGTATGTGTTATATTCAACACAAATAAAGGACACAATAACCCCAGAATATTAACTTACTGCTTGGCCATTTGCCTTTATAAATAAAGCCATGTATTCCTAGGCAAACAACTACTACATATTACCAAATTATGACTGTGTGCCTTTAAGTAGACAGTTCGTAATTACCTGGTTGCCCATAAGAATCAGCTGTAGAAGAAATATTCATTTACTACACTTATTTGGGTCCCACCCTCAGAGATTGTGGTTCAGTAGAACTACAGGAGGATGTTAGCATGCTTTTTAAGCCTCACCAGTTGATTCTGACACATGGCCAGGATTGAAAAACACTAGGTATGTCTAAGATTTATAGTTATATAAACAAATATAATATACACACAAATGCATAGACGTATGTACTGACATGCATGTACATACATATATACACATGTGTGTGCATGTGTTTATATATAGCTACTTACCACAAAGGTGTTTTATCATTTCTATGCCACTAGCTCTTTTTTACTCTTAAAGTATCTGACACCCTCCTGTGTCACCAATTCCAATACTTATTCTGTGTTATTCCATCTGCTCCCCACCCCATTCTTGTCTATTGCCTAAAATTTCTCAGCCGTCCCAAGGCTATGCTTATTGATTTTTACTATTATAATGTCCCTTCTTGTCATCTGAAACCCTCTTTCTTCCAACCACCTCACTTTCTTCAGCTTCTGCACCATTCCAAAAGCTTGATAGTACTAACAATCTAGCTTGAAATAAGGTTGTAATATACTTATATGTGATCTATTTCTTTTTTCCTTAGAGTAAATCATCCTTGAAAAATCTCCCTATCCTGGTATGACAAAGTTGTGCTATATCACCTTATCTTCCCATATATACACTCTTATTAATTATTCATTCAGAAAATTAACATTCATTAAGCACATATCCTATTGTCAGACACTATGCTGCACAGTGGGGATACAGAAATAAACTGTGAATTTGAGGATAGAGAACTTTGTCAGAAGCAACACATCCTTTAAAGAAACAAAAAGATACAAATGTGCTGTGGGCCAAATTATGTCCCCTCAAAGTTAATATGCTAAAATCCTAACTTTCAGAACATCAGAACATGACTGTATTTATGGATAGGGCCCTTAAATAATTAATTAAGGTAAAATGAGGTCATATGGGTGGATCCTAATCCATTATGACTGACATCTTTTTAAGAGGGGGAAATCAGAATACCTACTCCCACAGAGGAATGACCACGTAAAGGCACAGGGAGAAGACTCATGTATAAGCTAAGGAGAGAGGCTTCAGAAAAACCAATGCTGCCAACACCTTGATCTCAATCTTACAGAATGTAGAATCATAGGGAAATCTCATTTCTGCTGTTTAAGCCATCCATCTGTGGTTATTTGGTTAGGGTATCCCTAGCAAAGCTATACATGGTACATAATCTTAGTTGATCTTTGAAAAGAAAGTTCCTACTGTGAAATGAAGGTTTAATAACCTCCAAATATGGACCCCTAGTCTTTCTACATAAAATAACAAATCTGAATCTGAGGCCAGGATCACTATGAGTTAGGTTTTATTATTTGTTTGCAACCATAATCACTGATATACAGAAAAAGTATGAAGGCTCAACCACAACCAAAATAGTATGCTCTGACCTCTATAATCTGTGATCATCTTTTTAATCCAGAGGGTCAACAGTGCTGTAACACTGGGAAAACACACTGCTAAAGTACAAAATGAACTGTCAAAGCTACTATTGCTCCATTCATTTGAAAACTGATTTGCTTAGGAAGATGAAATCACCTGTTAATTGAAAAGAGAAAAAGCTGATGACAACCTAATAGCAATATACTATAACTCAATTACAACAGTTTTCATATGACTGTGGAACTAACCTCCAGAAAACAAATCAAAACAAAATAAGAAGGATTTTTAAAGTCCAAACTTTTTAGTTTTTATTTAACAATAAAACATCCATCTATTCAAACTTATCTGCTTTATTTACAGGTATACAGGCCAGTTTGGTGAAAAGATCACTCTAAAAATTCAAGAGGCATTTAGTTTTGGATCTGTTGAAACGTATATGCAAAGACCTGGAAGAGCAGCTTGATATACCCTTCTCATTCAGTGAATAATCTGGGGTCACTGAAAACCATGTCAAACATTAGCATACTCTGAAAGAAAGCTAAGGGTAAATTACACCAATATAAATGTCAAAATGCCATAAGGGTGAACTAAGCATAACAAAATGATGTACACAATGGAAGGTATCTGAAGAATACGTAGGTACATAAAAGTTTGCATTGATGACTGAAAACCAAAGAATGGTGGCAAACTAGTGCCCACTTGGTTTGGTTTATTCTACTTACGAGGGTCAGCTCCTTAGTTCCCTCATCTACAAATTGGCAATAATAGCTACTCTATTTATTTCAGATATCAGTTACAAGAATCAACTGAGAACTTTGAAAAACACAAAACATCCATAAAAATTGAAGTTACTAAACTTATTTGTACAGATGCTCCTGGACTTACGACAGTGTTATGTCCCAATAAACCTATTATAAGTTGAAAATGCACTTTCAACTTACAGTGAGTTTATCCAAACATAACGCTATAATAAGTTGAGGATCATACTGAATATCACTTTTGCACCACTATAAAGTTGAAACTCATAAGTGGAACCATCCTGAGTCAAAGACCCTCTGTACTACTTATCTTTCCATACCTGATGGTGTGGCATAACTCCACTTAATAGTGGATGATCAACATTTTTTAGTTGAACAATAATTATTCATCTGAGAGTTTTGCTTATTTGTAGGACAAGGGTTCCAATTTTTTAAGTGATTGATTGAATAGAAATTAGAAGTAAACATCAGCATTGCGAGAGAAAAATACTGAAGCATAGTAAGGCTAAATGTGCATTAGAATGGGAAGACACATAGAGGAAGAAAAAAATCCACCATCCAGCAAGAAGGCATTCTCAGCTTGAAATAGTGCCTAACTGTGGTTCCACATGAGTCTAAGTAAAACACACTTGTAAAAAAGTATTTTTGAAAGAATTCTTATCAGATATATGTGAAGAATCTTTATAAAATAAGAAATTCAGGGCTGAAAATATCAGAATATCAGTTTTGTTTTTCAAAATATACATTTTCCGTTAACTATGACATTTATATCTCTGCATAATAAAAATATACATCACTTTAGAGACTAAACATGTTGCTGAGCTTACACTAATATAATCAACAACGAATCTAATTGCTAACCAAAACCTCTTTGAAATTTTTAAGATATTGATAGCATTAAAAGTATGTATTTTATTTCAGGAAAAACAGATATTGGGTACAGTTTTAAAAATAAATACAAATGGATCATAAACTACCAAATATAAGACAGTTATGCTTATTTTGACAACAAATAAAAAATTAACTCACATCAACCAACTACTAAAGGAGACAAATCATAACATACTTTTTCTAACCTTAACATTGTTGAAAGAAGTAGGAGACTAGGTGGTGAAATATGATATCAGATATAGTTTATCAGTGGCCCATTACCTAATACTTACCATCATAGAGCAGTTTCTACAATCCTACACTATTTTTAAATAGTTAAAAGAAAAAGCCAAACACATAAAAACACACATCAATCATGAAGAAAAAAATCCTAGCTACATATTTAAAATTTTTAAGGGATAAATATATATGGTGTTTTTAATCACTCATATAGTTTTATTGATACAAATTGAGTGCTTTAACCATCACACACCCAAAGTACATGGTTTCAAGTTCAGATAACTCAGGCCACAAACTAAATCAAATCCTTGGAAGTGATTCTAGGTCTTTTACTCTCCAAAATTTCAGACTCTACCTTGTAGCCACTGAAGTTGATTGCATAAGACAGATCATATAAACAACTAGCACTGTATATTTTATTGCCTTTCCACTAAAAACTGAACTTCCTGACTTACCTTTTATTAAAATTATGAAGGTAAATATTTGCCAATCACCCTGTGTATGTGCCCTTCAGTTTATGCACCACACACACTGTTTCCCTGTGGTGTGAGGCATGATGTCTTCGTGAATTTATTAATGCTAAAGTATAACAAGCAGCCTTCTCCACTGCCTTTAATAGTTCGTTATATCCCTTATCTTTTAAATACCAGCAACATTAATATTACTATTTGTATTAGTCCATATGATCTGTAGGTAAATCTCTAGATAATGGTCTTGATAGTTTACATTTAATTATACTCAAAATTAAAATACATTATTAATATTAAGTAAACTGCAAAAGCTACGAAGACAACATTGTATCTCTCAACTTGTCAATCAAAATTAAAAGTGTTGTAACATGGTTACTATCTGCAGAAATAGTTACATAGAGCATTTCAAAGGAGAGTTTTGGACAAACCCAATTTAAATCCCACTGGTGGTTTCTGCCTGAGCTAATTCCATGTATGAACAAATTTTGGTGGAGAGGGCATCAATGTGGATTTTACCCGCAACCAAATAGAAAAAGGATAATGTCCTCCTTATCTCTTATTTATTTGGGTCTACACAATATATATGACCAAAAAGGAAGCACACTGCCCTATGTCTTGATTCTGCTACTAGTTTTATCACCTAGTATAAATCACAAACTCTCCAGGTTTCAGTAATCCACACAATGAAGTATTATGTAATATCTCTGAGGTTCTTTCTAGCTTAAAAAAATCTATAACTCTATGAAACTATCTATAGAAATAACAACCATAAAATAACAACATACATTGAGATGTTGATTTAGTCAGACTCTTCCTAAAAAGCTTAAGAATACTCCCTGTAAAACTAAATCTTGCAAAATAAGATCCTAGTATATAGGCATTGCATAGAATGGTCTAATGGCTAAGCAATCTTTAAAACTAGTTAGAAACTTCTGAAATAATTTACACATAATCCCTTCTAAAAGCCAGGAAATTGATTTTAAATGATTTCAAGTTATGCTTATATAGTTCAATATTTCCAAGTCAGATATCCTTTCTACCCTGAGGTTGAAGATAATTTTCTCAAAGGATTCTATATTTAAGCATAATAATTCAGTTACTCATACACTGTCAAGTGAAAACTTTATCCATTACATTTAAAATGGGTCAATTGAATAGCAAGTAAATTATGTCTCAATAAAGCTGTTTATTTTTTTTAAAATGCATGCATAAGTATTTCTGTCAGGAAAACCTGTCCTGTATTTTAAACTGCAGTTGAGTTATTACTAATTCCATTTGCTTATGAACAACTTACCTGAATATATTTGTTTTGATAGGAGCTTTTCTCCTTTCCCTTTATTCTTTTTCCTTACATGCTAAAAATGTGGCTTAATAAATTAACATAAATACTTACATGACAAGAATCTGCTTCTCCCTCTTCCATTGGCTCATCAACCATTTTAAGACCATTTACCTGAAAAACATTGTTTAAAAATTGAGGTTCAAGAGTATTAAAAAAAGAGTGATAACTAAGCAAAATATAACTCTAGGTATTTCCTTCCACAATCTAACAAGATCCACACTTACTGAAAAACAAAAGGACAAAGGACACATAGAAGTACTTCGAAAAGGAACACTATTAACATGGTTCCCAGATTGTCCTTGAAAAACTTTGATTTTCAGAGCTTTATGCTTCATTATTTATTGTTTAGAGCTCTGCAATAACAGACAACTAAGTATATAACCTATGTATTTTTATTAAATTGCCCCCAACCAAGTATTTATAAAAGGAAAAAAATACCACAGAAATCTACCATGGGGGTATATTCAAAGCAAATTAGAATAAGAATAGTTTTATATAATTGCACTGTTGTGAATTTCTCTTTTAATCAGTTCAATTAAACTGCATGAGATACCATACAGAAGAAAGAATAAACTATAGGAGAAAGATGTAAGTGATCATGGAAATAAAATAATGAACATGCAGAGCTCAGTAGGTAATATTACTCGCTCTTTAACCACTAATTCAAGAAAAAGTAAAGTAGAGGGATTAGATCAACGGTCTGCAAACCATAACCCATGAACTAAATCTAACCTCCTGTCTATGTAAAAATTTTACTAGAACACAGTCACACTCATTTGTCTCTATCTTATCTATGGCTGATTTTGCACTACAACAGCCAAGTTGACCAGTTGTGACAGAGACCCTATGCCTGCAAAGGCTAAAATATTTCCTATGTGAACCCTTACAGTTTGCCAACCACTGATCTGAGATGTTTGAAAATCAGGCAACAGGAAAACAACCTAGATAAAAAGATTTTTACCACTGCCCATTTGTAAGTCAACAGAAAAAAAAAAAAAAAGTAAATTAGAGTTTCTTGTGACAGTCAAATGAAATATACTCATTAAGCCTATCACTCCTCGATTATAAACTAAAATCCCTAGGTAGGATAGAAAAAGAAACTACCCAAGGACTCTGAAAATGAAACAATAACAAGTGAAATAGGGAAAATCAAAATTTGAAAATTAACTCTGATGAATTCTCTAGGTTTATTTTCCACCTTTATCTCCTGAATTTGACCAGAGAAGAGACTGAATCATGAGATAACACAGTAGACATCAACAAAAATTCCAAGAAAAATCCCATTTTCTGTACAAAGGCCCAGGAAAAGGCGTACTTTTGAGCCTGTAAACATAAGAAGAATCCAAGATTTCCCATACACACTTTTTTGATGTTGAGTCCATCTGCAAGGCAAGCCCTGATCAAGAGAAAATCCATCTGTCTGGCCAGAGAAAGCAGGAAAAGAGGTCTCTATTATAATAAAAATGTGAGGGTAATCCCTCTTAATTTTTTTTCCCACTCTCTTCTTTACTTCACCCAAAGGCAGCTCCAATAGTGTAAAGTTATGCAAAAGCATAAAAGGCTAAGACTCTAAAAGAAGATCATATTTTTGTCTGGCAGAAGAGAATAAAGGGCCCATGGGAATTGAAGACTGCGGAAGAAATCAGAGAGGACAGAATGGAAAGAGCAGATCCCCTAATTCTGTATATGAACCAACACAAGTCTTGGCAACAACAGCAAACTGCATGTGTGCAGAAAGGACTAAAAAAACACAACAAAGTCTTTCAGTACAGAACTACAGTATCAATCATTGCTCAAATCTCATATTAACCACTGAATTAGCACATCCAATGAGTGGCACATGCAGAGTACTGACCCAAACTCTCTGAAAACTAAATTAACATTAGAACAATTATCCAGAGAGGGCAAGACAGAACTTCAGAGTCAACCAACTAGGTAGATTGCCTGCTGAAACAAACAAACAAATCAACAAGTAACAACTCCAGGATGGTGAACTGTCTGACAAGAATCTTAAAGCAGCTATTATAATTATGCTTTTTTTTTAATTGTACTTTAGGTTCTAGGGTACATGTGCAGATCATGCAGGGTTGTTGAATAGGTACACACATGGCAATGTGGTTTGCTGCCTCCATCCCCCCATCACCTACATCTGGCATTTCTCCCCATGTTATTCCTGCCCAACCTACCCACTGCCCACGCTGTCCCTCCCTTGGCTCCCCCCAAACTAACCCCAGTGTGTGATGCTCCCCTCCTTGTATCCATGTGTTCTCATTGTTCAACACCCACCTAAAAGTGAGAACATGCAGTGTTTGATTTTCTGTTCTTGTGTCAGTTTGCTGAGAATGATGGTTTATAGATTCATCCATGTCCCTAAAAAGGACACAAACTCATCATTTTTTATGGCTGCATAGTCTTCCGTGGTATATATGTGCCACATTTTCCTTGTCCAGTCTATCGTCAATGGGCATTTGGGTTGGTGCCAGGTCTTTGCTATTGTTAACAGTGCTGCTATGAACATGTGTGCGCATATGTCTTTATAATAGAATGATTTATAATCCTTTGGGTATATACCCAGTAATGGGATTGCTGGGTCAAATGGAATTTCTATTTCGAGGTCCTTGAGGAATTGCCATACTGTCTTCCACAATGGTTGAACTAGTTTACACTCCCACCAACAGTGTAAAAGTGTTCCTATCTCTCCACATCCTCTCCAGCATCTGTTGTCTCCAGATTTTTTAATGATCACCATTCTAACTGGCATGAGATGATTATGCTTTTGTGGATAAAAATAAACACACCTGAATGAAATAATAAAAAGTTCTCAACAGAGAAACAGAAACTATTAAAAAATGTAAGTAATTCCAGAACTAAAAATCATAATATATGAAAATTTTTAAAAATGGATAGGTTCACTAAAAGAATGGAGGTGGCTGACGAAATAGTAAACTTTAAGACAGATCAATAGACATCATCCAATATGAAAGAGAGAGTGAAAATCATGAAAAATAAACAGAGCCTCAGAGACATATGAAACGCTGTCAGACAGTCTAAAATCTATATCATTAACATCCCATAAAAAAACAGAGAGTAGTACTGGAAAAAATCACTTAAAGAAATAAAGGTAATCTCATTCATATGAAATAATGAAAATAGCAAAATATATAGAGACAGAAAGCAGGCTAATGCTTGCTTAGAGCTGCAGTAGAGGGAGAAGAAGGTCATAGCTAAAGGGTACAATATTCCTTTTTGATGTGATGAAGGAACTTTAAAAGTCACTGTGGTGACAGTTGTACATATGTGTGAATATAATAAGTACTGGATTGTATATTTTAAATGGGTGAATTATGTGAATTATATCTCACTAAAGCTGTATTTTCAAGATAAATGATGGCAGAACATTTCCCAAATTTGAAAAAGCATGAATTTAAAGTTTCAAAAAGTTCAGTAATCTCTAAACAGAATAAAATTTTTAAAAACCACCCCAAGACATGTCTTAATTGAACTACTTTAAACCAAAAGAGAAATGGGGAAAAAATATTGAAAGGAGTGAGAGAAAAAAACACATACTACATAAAGGGGAACATCAAACTGGATGACTTCAAATTTCTCATAAGAAATAATGGAGACCAGAAAACAGAGAACATTCACCTGAGATCAGTAGAAACATATTACAACACAAATCTGTACCTACATTTTTATAGCAGCTTTATTTATCATTGTCATAAATTAGAAACAATCAAAATGGCCTTCAACTGATGAGTAGATAAATAGAATACTACTTTTTACTCATCAATTAAAAGGAGAGAACTGTTGATACTTGTAACAACATCGATGAATCTTAAAAGCATTTCTGCTAACTGAAAGAAGCCAAATCCAAATCCAAAAGGCTAAATATTGTATGATTTAGCCTAAAGTATAAATATTGTAAGATACTCTGAATAAAGCAAAACTGTAGGGAGAGAACTGGTTCAAGGAATTGGGAGTAGAGGAAAACAAATATCACTCAGTAATAAAAAATGATAGTATATTGATACATTCAACAACATGGATGAATCCCAAACACATTACTGTAAATAAAAGCGGCAAGATTCAAAAGGCTACATTCTGTAGGATTCCATTTATATGTTATCCTGGAAAACGTAAGACTAAAAGGAATGGAGAAGAAACTAGTGGTTGCAAGGAGTTAGGGAGGGGGAGAGGTTGACTACAAAGAGGCACCACATGGGAAGAGAGAGAGAGAGAGAGAGAGAGAGAGAGAGAGAGAGAGAGAGAGTATGTGTGTGTCTGTGTGTGTGTCTGTGTGTGTGTGTTATGAAACTATTCCTTGTCTTGATTGTGGTTGTCATTACACAACGCTATACATTTGTTTAATCTCAGAATCCTACATGAAAAGGAGTGAAGGAAAAAATGGAAACCAATTTATTAAAAAGTAAATTACTCAACTAGCATCTTCATTCTTAAAAAAGCCCAATGAAAACCACCAATGCTCAATAGTCAGTAATGATGTCTACTTTGCTAAAAGATCCATAAGTCATTATTTTATTTGATTTCTCTGCAGCATGTCACAGGTGACCACTCTCCTATTTACGTTTTTAGCTTCTGTAATATCATACTCTTATTTTATTTTACTCTAATTTCTTTTACTATTGTTTTCAACATCCTTGCAACACTGTAATTCCTCAGGAAATGGACTAGATCACCCTCATGTCCCACTCCACATTCTTTCCCCAGGCAGCTAATTTACTGACATGACTCATGTTTACTCAGCAACTAACTCTGAGTTCCTGATCCATATATCAAACTGCATACATGACATTTCCACGTTTATATCACATGTCTCTCAAAAATAACCAATACAAAAAGGAAAAGTTGACCCCCTCCTTCTCATCTGCTCTTTCTTTAGGGTTTCCCATTTCATTAAATGATAACACCATCTACCATTTACCTCAACAAAACAGACTATCAGACTATGTGGGATTACAAAAAAAAAAAAAAAAAAACTGTCACAGATTAATTGTAAGCATATAGAAAATAGAAAGAAGAGCATTCAGAAAAACAGTCCAGAAATGAACATTGACAGAATCCTGATAATTAAATTGTTAATATAAAAT